ATTTATAGCACGAGTGATGCTATGCCAGTTATAAATCGAGGAGCTCGATGGAGCCAGTGTTTAGCGCGTTCGGCTGCGGTCGTTGAAGTTGAGCAACTTTCTCAGGGGTCGGTCATTGGATGGGTGACCAAAAATTTACTATCTCGAGCTCCTCCGTGCTTCGGAAGGCACGTTAAGCCGTTGGTCCCGGCAGTATCTGCAGTTAGGTCATGGCCCAATCTCCCTAATCCATCCATAGGGAAGGCCTGTGCCCCAGCAGTGGGTACATTAATGATGGCTGGCTGATGATGATGATAGCACCACTTTGTTCTCGTTTGGGTTGTTAATGTTTTCGTAAAGTAATAGTTTCAACAATTAGATTTTATTAGATTATCAAATCAGAAATCAATATATCTTTATTCAAATTGGATGTATACTACAACTCTTTTGAATCGTCCAAAAAATTTTTTTTCCCTACCACTCGTTATGGACATATTTTTTAGCTGCGGAGAAAAACGAGCGAAAAAAACTCCACAACATTAAAAGTCTAATGTAACAACATTTACAAATCATTATGTTGTTACAACGTCAATACAATTATGATTTATTTAATATAGAAAACCTGTTGGAATGATTGGAACAGTTCAAACCCAAGCATTTTTGTCTGTAATATAATCAGACACTTCGTAATAAGCTTTTTTAATAAGTGTTTTTTTTATGATATCTTTAAATTTATTTATGGCTAACTGTTGGATATTGCTTGGGACTTTATTGTATAAGCGAACACAAAGACCTTTAAATGAATTATTAATTTTGTGAAGCCTAGTAGCAGGTAAAGTTAGTTTATTTTTGTTTCTTGTATTAATTGTGTGAACATCACTGTTTTTAAGAAACAAATTAATATTTTTTCTTACAAGTAATAAATTTTCGTATATGTATTGTGATGCGACCGTCATTATTCCAAATTCTTTAAACTTATCTCTTAATGATTCTTTAACTTTAAGATTATAAATTGATCGAATAGCTCTCTTCTGCAGCACAAAAATAGTTTGAAATTTATGAAATGTGACGTCACGAAATTTAGGACTCCTCCCACCCCCTTGTCACGCGATGTCACACCTCGTCGACCCCCTCCCTCCCCCTGAACGTGTGACGTAATTTATGGATGACCCCTTACATAATATTTTAAAATTTTCATGGTCACTACATTAACATAATTCATGTTATTTACGTGATTGTTATCTTATACTTTATTTTTGGAAAGTGCCCGATATTTATGTTCGGTATATGTATTCATTACTCTGTGTTATGGGGAGAAAAATCAAAAGCCACAAACAACAATACACAGCTCGTTGTAGCCAAACCATAGTTCACGAGCCAGTTAATAGTTATAAACAACACTCTGAGTGCCCGGTTTTCCCGACTCTCGGCCAAGCCAGCCAACAGCGCTGCAACGTAAACTCGCCGCTCTTAAGCCACTGTTTATGTTACGTAGATTTATTCGAAGTGGGTCCTTTTTATGTAGTCGCTTCCCTTTGTTACTTGGTGAGTCCTCAAAATATTAAACGCTCGCCTCTGAAAAGATGGAAAATTTGTTTGTACTAAGTTTATACGGTGTATGATAAAAAAGTTACGACTCAGCTGAACTCTTTCTAATATACAAATTTTCTTGGAATTTGTCGAATAAAATCTTGAATAACGAAGGTTTTTATTAGTCTTTAGTTTCAAGTTTTTAACGTTATACTCACTATTATTGTTCCTTCCTCCTTCCTTGAGTAAAATGAAAATCTTATTATGTTATACAATTTATTATAGCAACCATCTTAGCATATTCTATTCTAATTTCTAATGCGAGAGGTTTTATTGATAACATACAAATTTTTCAGTTTTTATTTTCACATTATAAAACACAAATATAACATGTATTGATCTGTCTCTGTTATGTAAAAATATTTAGCCGAAGGAGAGTAGCACCAGAAGAGGGTTAATACTTTATCTTAAGTACTTACATATTCCTAAATTTCATCGCCCATCTATGAGATAAAAACCGCTAAAGACGGACAGACACGGGACAGGCTTAAGTGGTAATAGATAATCGTTGTCACCATCTGAACACGGTACCCCAAAAAAAGTCTACCTATGTTGCTAATTTATTGAGTGATCAAAGAGATTCCAGTTTTATATCCGTTGCACATGATAAAATACCGTTTTATGAACAGAGAAGGATTTATGAGCTCGCCGCTTTGGGATGAGTAAGATACTCATTACTTTGTTTTATGTAGCAATTCTGGTAATTATACACGGATTGTGCACGGTACAGCCGCTTTCATTATACCTAGCACGATATTATACGTTACGCTGGCGCTGTTTACAGTTGCTGTGTTGAATTAATAAAATAGTGGCACATTGTGGTGAATTAGTAATATAATGTCAAGAGAGGCATATAGGGAATAGCGCATTATCTGCTCGGACTGAATTGTTTCTATAGGAGAGTAACAACACTACATTTATTGGTGTTTTATTTTATTAGCGAGAAATGTTCCAGGGCTCCACGGAGTTCGACGCGGCAGAATCCCTAAACGGGGAACCCGCGGTTTCGCACTAAGCAGCTTAGAGGGTATTCGCAGGGTTTTTAGCGGATATTATACCGTAAAGCGCCCGTAAGAGTTACAGGGTCCTCGGCCAGGTGTGAGGTCCTTACGACGGTGTGCCTCTTAAAGGCGCCGTCGTCTGTAAATAGAGGTTCTGCTTGAGTCAAAAAAAAAAAGGAAAGGGCTCCACGGAGTAGATTAGACGATTGGGTAGAACCTGGAGTCAGTGAAGGCAACGCGCAAGTGATTATGTTCTACGCAAGCGTATATAGGCTATGGTGGCCACTTATCATCACATTAGGATAGACGGCATCATCAGACGATGGACTTCCACTGCTGTACATAGACCTCCTCTAGGGATGTGCACACAAAGCGCCCTGCGCTTTCACATTCAGTGGATTAAAAAAGAGTATGGAAAAAAATACAAATGACTACATATACACTCATCGTTAGAGACTAATAGACCAGTCATTTTAGACATTGTGAATCCCAATCTGCGAAAACATTCCCAGTGAGCTAAATTTTTGTATACACCTTTATTGCGACGTTGTAATGAAGATGTGAAAAATAGACTGACATCGTGCCGGCTAAAAAAGTTATAAAGGTCATAAGGTCATGAAAATTAGTTTTTCGCGAATGTCTCGCGACCTATATTGCTCGGAGGTCAAAAGAGGTCATTATAAATATTGTTCGTCTTAAAATGACGTACAAAAATGCCTCTTGCATTTTTAGTAGAGTAAAGCGCTGAGAAAGCTACTAGAATACACTCACATACAGTATTGTATATGATGCTTTTAAGTGTCCTTAAAACTTCTCTCTGATACTTGGGCTTACAGTTTGCGTAAGTTATGCATGTTGCTTATACTTTTTGATCAGTTTATTTATTGCTTTTCGTCAAAATGGCGGAATCTTATTTCGTTTTCCACTCGAAGGGATTCAAATCACATCTGAACTGCGCTATATCTGTTATTCGCACGGGTAGTGGGACCGTGCCTGTGTTTGAGGCACGACCTATCTTTTGAACCTGAATAAACATTCCCCTTCCGAAATATTATTTCGTATTCCGCAGCCGGCTCGAAAAGTTCGACGGCGTGGAAGAAGATTTACACAGCTCCAGGCAGTCAATGAGCTTTAAAACTCAAACTCAAATCATTTATTGCAACCATAATGTGTACAGTGGGTGGTAGGTACTTATGTGAACATGAGCATTATGGACCTCGTCGGGTGCGCAATTGGTATTAGAAGAGAGGATGCGCTTCCCAAATGAATAACACTAAAATTATAATAGGAAGATAGAGATGGTTTAATATGTTTATTTTTGATAGTAATATTTGGATTTTTATTTAGATTATCATTATCTGATTTAATTATAAAAAAATAATAAAAAAAATGTACCATATATGTATAATAATAATTACTAATTTTGTCATTAAAATATTCATTAACACTATAATATTTGTTAATTAGAAATTCCTTTAACTTATTTATAAATCTCAAGTAATTATTTTCATTCATTATTGTATTAGGCAATTTGTTATAAATTTTAATGTTAAAAAAAATTGTGTTCTAATGTTTTATTTTATGCAAATTTTAAACCAGCTATTGGCGGTTTTTCGCGAAATTCTTTAAATTTTTTTTATAATAATCTTGACATAAAAAAAATCTCAATATGTTTCGCAAAAATTAGAAAGAGAAAAATTTCCCTTCAACAGTTTTGGTTTCTCTAACAATATCGATTCTTCAACATTATTATTATATTCCTATTATGCTATGCAATTTTATGATAACCAATGGCCTATATTTTGAGCACTCTGCAAAAGTTTTAATTTTATCCTTTCAATATTTTCCCACCTAACTTTAATAGGATCCGAACCGAGTAAGATCCTCACTGCTTGCCAAGATAAGAATTAAACTTTTCGTTCGCGATTCAATTAACATTCATAGCATTGCTGTGGATCGGGTTTTCTTCAGATAAACGGATTAACTTAGCATATATTTATCAGTTAAACCCTTCAAATCGGGATAAAGAAATTTATGCCAAACTCTTAAAGATATTCCTATAGTGATCTTTTCTAAGACACTTACGCAGTTTTGTATGCCTCCGTTAATTTCCAAAACGGTGTAAGTACCATGTTTGGAAGCCAACAAAAGGTTTTTCTATTTCTGTATAAAAAAGCAACAGTTAAAGTGTTAAGAGAACTCTTGTTATTAATTCAATTTGGCTACACTGAATAATTTATTTATAAACGTCGAATTTCAGGTGATTATCTACTGAAAGAGATAAGAAAGAGTCGTCGTTAGGATTAGTAATCAACTTACTAAAAATATTTTACATTTTACCTATGCAGTAGAAATATTTAACAGACAACATGAAATTTGCGTAAAATTCTGAAATGGAATAGATACATGATTTTTGTTTATTGTTCACAGGGTGATTCTCCGTTCGGGAAACCCGAAGCTTATATTCAACTACAGCCACTCGGTGAGGGTTCCTACGCCACTGTATATAGGGGATATAGCAAGTGAGTATATTATTCTTGTTAAACATATAATTATTTCTATCTACACCTATGCTTTAAAACCTCTATTAAAGATTCGAATACAGTTAGCTTATTGTCAACATTAAAACAACCAATGTCATAAAAAACACACCCGTTTGGGTGTTATAATGACACTCCTTCGCTTTTTAAATCCCTTTCTCGCTAAGGGGTAAAAAAAAGAACCTTGTTATGCACGCGTTTCACTAACACCACATGAGTAAAGAGACAAAGCTTCCATAGAGCTGTCAAAAATTTTCCTTATTTTGGTAGGGTGACACATGAGGATAAATTAAAATAAACAAAACGTTTCAAATATATGTTGATTAAGTAAGTAATTATGCATGTTATAATAGATTTTTCTCTGGGTGAACAATGTAAGTGGCTTCTATTACTTAGTCCAAGTATTTGTGTTTTGTTATTACATGTTGTACTTAAGTATTTCTAAAAGTTTTTTAAATAATCTAATGTAAAATAAACTAAAATGCATATTAAATAATTATACAGTCATGTAAGCGTTTTGGTAAAGCTATATTAACGGTGTTTGTTTCGAGATCAAAATGTTCGTGAATTTTTTTGCAAGCCAACTAAAACGAGACCTAACACTATAATAGTTACCATGGAAACCCTCAAAATAAATCATCAGATTAGCTACATGTTATAAAAATATTGCATTGTCATCTGATTTAAAAAGCACAATTGGAAGCCGGAAAGTAAGTCAAATTTAACTTGCAGGATTTGATAAAATAATTACGGTTCTTTATTTAAGAAACTAATGCTTTTATATAAAGACTCAAAAGAAAAGTAAATGTTAAAGTTAAAGTTACCCTATCTATCCACATAAAAAACATAAATATTACATAGAAAAGTTACTATTTGCTTGTGGAGTCTAAATGATAATTTAGAAATTATATGTTCTTTATTATATTTATACTTTTAAGCATTTAACTGCTAGATAAATTTTTCAAGAAATAATTTTTTATAGTATTTTTTTAAATAATAGTATGTTTTCCATCCATAGGGAAGGCCTGTGCCCCAGAAGTGGGGACATTAATAGGCTGATGATGATGATAGTATGTTCTTATTTTTTTTCATATGCACAGTACAAAAAACTATTTTTACCTTATTTTTATAAACATTATTAATTATTTAAAAACGTGAAGCGAATACGCCCCGAGTGTTCTGCGAGCCCTGCATTTGAGCACTGGCACTGATGTGTGTTGTGACTGAGTACATGACAGGCAGCCAGTGCTTACTCACACAGGCGTGTCGTGCTTGTAAGCTTTGTCTCCGTCCGGACTGTACGTTTCTTTACTCATGTGCTACCACAGCGCCAAAACTTTTCATGAATTTTAAGTTTATAGAACGCCCCATGCTTTTAGACACTTTTAAAGAGGATTCATTATCATGGCTGTAGATAAAGTCTTGTATGCAACTGTTTATAATCACACTAATGTAATAAAGGCGAAAGTTTGTGAGTGTGTATGTTTGTTACTTCTTCACGTCTAAACGGCTGGAGTGATTTTAATAAAATTTGGTATGGCTTTAGCTGACACCCTGGATTAACACATACATATTCCCAATAAACCTCGGGTAACACCGCTGGGCACTAGTTACGTAATAAAACACACATGTGATAAAACGATATTTCTGTGTGTACACCGAGTTTGAATACCCCTCATAATTGTATAAATATTTTTTATATAGGTACTCATATAGTATGTAAAACATAATAAGGAAACATGATGAACAATTATCCGTAGCCAAAGTTACATTACTTATACATATAGACGGATCGTTGAAAAACCTTTAAGCTTGTTTGAAGAAACTCGTACTGATTTAATTCCTTCGGGAAAACTTAAACAGCGAACGCGTTATGCTCGTACGCGGTAGGAAATTTGTTTAACTTTAATGTCTTTGTATTGTTAAGAAATCAGTGCATTATTCATCATTTTACTATGATTACTTTATATTTGCAACAACTAGGTCCATATGAGACTAAATTGATATAAACAAATAATATCAGGATCATGCTTTGCTTTAAAATAATAAATTTGTACTACTGTACATGCCTTTACTGATAGTCACATCGTTATCTAGATTATTAGAACACAAAGTTTAACTTGAAAAATCGATAATCTTCATTAGCTTTATGGCTAAATGTTTAATACTTGGAAAAGTATTCATTTGACATTGTGGGTTACCTATAATGCGAAGAGATAGCGCTGCCTTGCAGCATAAGAATGGCTAGAAGAATTTCGACGCGGTCATTGAGGGCCGCGGTAGCATAATTCGTCAGTGCATTCGCCCGGATTGCGAAGGGTGCGAGTTCGAGTCCCGTCTGCTGCCTGGTCCGCGTGGAATTTTTTCTAGTTATATTTTCTTTAGATTTAAACATCAAGCAGTTACATGCTTTAAAATAATAAAAATGGTAAATTGACTTTATAATTGAACAAGTTATTCTGAATCCGAAGTTAACAATTGAGCTAATACAGTTATCTACAATCAAACATTTTATTATCTAAAAACCTAATAAAACAGTTTAAGCCTTTCATAACATCTCCTAGACATACTCTACAGTCTTCTGCCCAGTCTCCATAATTGTAATATACCCCTGAAATAAAAAATCAGAAGGGATCAGATTACAGAACAAAAGGCAGTAGGAACGCATGAAACACGCAAGTGCGACCACCAAAGCAAATAAAAAGTCAAAAGTGAATACAACTCTCGTCAGTACGTTACCACACGTCGTGTTGTTGCGAGCCTCACTTTGCTTGTACCTTGCGCGTTATCTGCCTTTTGTTCTATGGTCTGAGATGAAGAGGCGGTTCTTAAAAAATCCCCAGAAACCTTTGTGCCAATGTTAAATGTTAAATATTTCGTCACCAAACCGATGGTCAATAACCAAAAGATATTATTGTTTATCGTAAGCATAATATTACCTTGCATATAGTAGTTTAAGTTCGCGCACTTTCAACAATCCTTTGGAAGAATCCTTTGTTTAATACACCGATCGGCAATTAACATAACATGCCTTAAACGGCATAGATATTCTAGCTTATCGTTAGTATAATCTTACCTTGCATAGCCTGCCCTCGTTCGGTTACCAATATTATGAATCAGTGATGTAATGAATCATTTGATTCTTTGTTCTGATTCAATTCATACTGATGAGATCTAAGATAGTCTATACGCTTATTTTATTTATTTGATCTGAATCTTGTCAGTCGTCATTCAAATATAGAAGGTTCCATATATATATATATGGCCTGCGCAGAAGAAAGACTAGACCGCGGAGGACAAAAGTCCCTCAAACGTGAATAAAATATCCGCCGAGTATTTGCACTCGGCGTGCGAACATTTGTTGCCCGAAAATTTAGAGAAGCGTAAACTATGGCAGTGAATATTGTAAGTGTCGGTTTTGTAACATTAACATGAAGTATAAGAAAAAAAGAAGACGTTTTAAAAGATAATACTGGGTCCATCTCTTTAAGTCGCCGTGTGCGTTGCTGCGCCTAATAACATGAGTTAAATTTTATACGGGGACACTCGCGTACTTTTGCCCAGTCCGGTCTCTCGGTGTCCTTTTAGTCCGTCGTGTGCTCAGATTAAAACGCACACGAACTTATACTAAATATAAGGTCGTGTGCGTTACTCGATACAGTTGTGAGCAATCTATTTTGGCGGACAAAAAATTCCTTCGTCTGTGCAGGCTTTTTATCGTATGCAAAGACGGGGGATCTTTTTGAATTGGAGTGCAAGCATTATAAAAAGTACGTAAAAGTGTAGCAGGTAGTATTTTTTGGTGTTTGTTTATGGTTTTATTTACTGTACAAGAGCACTCCCAAACATCACTCGATATGCAAAAGCGCTCCAGTATTTTTTGGATTACTCTGTTAGATAGATACTAGCCCAAATTCTATTTGGTGAGCGCACTCTGAAAACATTTTTAAAGCTTTCTCGTTTCGGAGAATTGCTTTTGCTTTGAAACTTTTGCCGGATATATCTCATAAAGTCAAACAGTTTTATTGTAAAATTTTAAAATAAGCACTTGATATTGTTTTAATTAGAGACTGCCATTTTTGTTATTTTATTGCCAAGTGAATATATTTTATTGCTTACTGTGGAGTAATAATTTATTTAATCCCATATAAAATGAATTATTACGCAACACCTAATTGCATAAATTGCCTAAAACACGTTAAGTTAAGAGCTCGAAATACCCACCTTGGCTTTAAAGGAAAGTTGTGAAAAAAATTGGTTTGTTTTATTTAGATAAAACTTTATAAAATATTAAGAAAGTATATACAATGTGTTAACATTAATAAGTACTACTTCGTATTCTTGTGAACGGTCCCATTAATACTTGGGGCAGTTGCCAAATCGCATTTATATTTAACAAGTAACAGTTAGCATTAATTTGCTTTCCATAAGAGACTTTTAATGAGTGCCTGAGTAAAGTGGTGGAAGTTTTCCGATGCGGGGTCGGTGCGAGGGGCAAATTCCATGGAACTTGCTTCTTGTTGCTTGTGAATATTGAATTTAAGGTTTAGTTCACCGATATTCATCTAGAGATTGACTAAGCTAAGTCTGCTAGATATTCTAATTGTAAGTGCATTGCTAATAAGAAATCACAGAAAGTATAGAAATGGCTATTTTCAATTAATACCTAAGTACCATTCAACGCCCTTCTTCTTTATTAGATACTTTATTCTACGTTATACATCGTTTCTATTCTACGATCTTCATTTGTGTCTTATTTCATCTACTTCTATCACAGTGTTCTTTGCTTAAAATTCTTCAAATATCCATCGAACGTACAAAATATCAGTGAATACTTAACATGTTAAGATTTATTTGAATTTGCAAAATTCTACGCGTCTAGATCTGGTTTATAATCTGTAGAATCCCGAATGGAATTAACACGCTCCACGCTTTTGATTAAATTATAAAATTTGCGTTGACATTTTGTCACAGCTTAGTTA